GCCAACACTGTAATTAAACCTGAATATTGAGATTTTAGTTTAAAAAAAAAAAAAAAAAAAAAAACCAACTACATTGACATCTGTTGCCTTAAAAGAAAAACACAATAACATGCATGCCGTAGGGGTGCCACCCCTGATATACAGTGCACATAAAAAGCGTGGGTGCAGATGCACACGCACATGCCTGTGGTCAGTAAATGCACACCTCTGCACATATCACCAAGTTCCAGAAACAGAACGCAAGCATTTCTCAGGGCCTCCTATAGGACACGAACTGGCATATAATAAACACACATACTGACTTGACTCTCACTGAGAAGTAACCAAAAATTATCCAAATTATGTACTGATTGTGTCCTTGCTTTCTTTGGAGGTTTTATACCTGTATAAATACTCCAAAGTGATACATTATTTAGTTTTGCTGAGCTTTGAATTTTATATAAGTTTAACCCGATGATATATTTGCTTTATTCTTTCTCTCAAAACTACGTCTTTGCATAATTCACCCAAAGGCTACTCATATTTGATTGCTGTATATAGTAATACACTATAAAACTTTGTCGCAATTTATTTATCCGCTCTATTGATGGATAGTTGGGCTTTTATCAGTCTTTGCTATTATGAGTAAACATTATTGTACGTGTTTGGGGCTGATATTTGCACGAATGAACCAAAGGTCCAACAATCTCTACAGCACATTTTCTGGGTTATAGTATACACACATGTCCAATTTTATGGGGAAAGCGAAATTGTTTTCTGAAGTAGTTGAAATAATTTGCACTTCCGTGAAAGTGAATAAAAATTCTTACTATTGAGCAACCTGCCAAATGCGCCATTTTCTGTCTTCAATTTTTTTCTTCCTTACAGATATAAAATGATTTCTCATAATACAGTACTCTAAAATTGTATTTCCCTGGGGCTGGGGATTTAGCTCAGCGGCAAAGCGCCTGCCTGGCAAGCGCAAGGTCGTGAGTTCGGTTCCTGGTACCGGAGAAATACCAAAAAAAAAAAAAAAAAAAAAAATTGTATTTCCCTGATTATTTGTGAGCACATTTTCATATATTAAGGACCTTTTGGGTTTAGTATCATTTTATCTGTGAAATAGCTATAAATTTCTTTTGCTTGTTTTCTAGAGGTTGGTACTATTTTTCTTATTAATTCACACACACACACACACACTTTCCCTGGACACCAGTCTTTTGTCGGTTTTAAGTTTCACAACATTCTGAGTTTGTGTTCCACACACTTCATTAGCCTGTTTGTGATCCTTTTGTGGCCTTATTTCCTTTTTGGTATCATTTTGATGAATAATTTTATTTTTAATGTGGTCAAATGTATTAATATTTCCATTTTGGTTTGTTTTCTATCACAATGATGAAGTCTCTTTCTACTGTGAGGTAGAAAATTCTTCCATTCTGTTTCAAAAAGTTTTGGAGTTTTACCTTTAATTTTTCAGGGATTTTTTTTCCAACGTGGAATTGGTTTCTATATACAATGTATAGTACCAGTACAATTTTACTTCTTCAGATGATAAAACAATAAGGCCTACACCATTTATGAAAAAGTTTATTGTTTCTTCTCATACATCTGCAATACCACTTTTTACACATCCAGTGTCTTGGGAGGTCAATTTCTGGGCTCTCTGTACTGATTTCTTAAGATATTTTTCTATTCTTGTGTCAATACAACCCTAGATTAATTCATACTTAATAGAAAAAAGTGCCCCCAACAGGGAGACAGAACTTTTGCAAAAGGGGAAGGGAACTAAGAGATGGAGGGAGGAGAAAGAATCGGGGGAAGGGGATAGAAAGAAGAATTAAGATGTGTTAATTCTTCCAGGTACCAGCTCTCCACTAGGAATGTAATTGTTAGGTACTGAAAACATGTGCAAATAAAAAAAGAGAGGAGAAGTATTTTGAGGAGGGTTAATGACAATGTGTTTTTTACTGGAATAAAATTTTAAATTAAAGAACAATAAATTAACTATAATTTTAGCTAAAAGATGGTGAACAAATTTTTTCTTTTTCTACAAATGTGTCTTATTAGTCTAGTTTTTGTATTTTGATGCAAATTTTTAAGTCATTTATTAAGCCACACAGAAAAATATTGTTAAGGTGTTGACTACAAGTGTATTGACTCTATAGAGCACTTCAGACTGAATTAGCATTTCTTGAGTACTGATTCTTCCAAACCTTGAACAATATATGTTTCGATTATCACCGATGCCTTACAGAAACATTTTATCAGTTTTTAATCTTATAAATGTCTTATTTCTCTTCAAGTATATTTCTGGGTTTATAACTTTTGCACTATTATTCATAGTATATTAAAATTACTAGTTATTGAGTCATATTGTCCTACAGTGGAATTAAGCCCCCTCACAATAAGAAAAAATTCTACCACTTCTGAATTCCCTGCAGGCACCACTATAGCAAGTCGCATCCCCGCCACTGTCGCACACACTTTTGATTCTTGCCCGACACTGCTCTACTCTCTGTCATTGTACTCTTGTGTCTTCTAGAATTTCCTATCAGTGAAATTAAACAGCACGTAGCCCTTTACAGCTGTCTTCCTTCACTTAGTGTGACGCTTCTGAGATTCACCTATGTTGTTATGTGTATCAGGCGTTTGTTCTTGGTGTTGGAGCATATCACTGACTGCTCACAGCAAAAATCATTTATTCTTCAGTTGGATCAGTTGTAGACAGTTGTGTTGACTACAGCTTGGGGCTACTACTAATAATTTGGTACAAACATTCAAATACAAATATTTTTGTGCATGTATATTTGTAAAATATATGGGAGGAGGGAGAGGCAGAGACAGAGACAGAGACAGAGACAGAGAAGGGGAGAGACTCTAATACTGGCCTAGGATTGACAATTGCATGGTCATATTTTTGAACCTTCTGTTTTGTTCTGTGGGTTGATACACCAACGCAAATACTAATATGCAATATGGTGCTGTAACATGCAGTATAATTTTATAGTAAGTTTTGAAATCAGGTAGCATGAGGCCTCAAATTTCACACTTCAGTAATTGTTGGCTATTCTTGATCTTTTGAATTTCCATATAAATTTTATAATCTGCTTGCTAATTTCTATTTAAAACACCCTGCAGTTATTTTGATTAGGATTTTGTTGACTCGACTCACTAATTTGGGAAGAATTATAAGAATACTGAGTCTTCTAACACACTTATTAAGAACTCTATTTTTGATTCTTCAGTTTTTTCATCAGTGTTTTGTTCTTTCTATTGCATAGGTCTTATATGTCTTTGGCTCAATTTTAAGTATTCCACTTTTGTCAATGCTATTGGTACCGATTTTTAAATTTCAATTTCTAATTACTTGTTACAAGCATAAGTATATATCATTGATTTTGTATGCTAACTGGGTAATAATAATAAGGAATGTTGATCTATAGTTTCTTTTCCAGTAAAATCTTTGTCCAGTTTTGGTATTAAGATAATACCAGCCTCATAAGATGAATTAGAATATATTTCCTACTCAAACTACATGAGCAGCATTTGTAAAATTGTACTATTTCTTCCTTAATGTCTTATAGGATTTATAAAAGAAGGCATCATGGTCTTGAGTAGCTTTCATGGGAATGTGTTTAAATAAAAATTCAACTTTTTTTAATAGATCGTGGAATATTTCAGCTCCCCATTTTTTTGGAGTAAGCATTTCTTTGATCATTGGTTTTTTCAAGGAATTTGGTAACTTCATCTTAGTTGACTTTCTTTGCATTCAGGTATATATAGTACAATGTTATGCTTTAGTTTAGGGTCTTTAGTTATAGGCTTTTTTCTGTGCTTAATCTTGGTAATTTGTGGTTTTCTTTGGTCTGCCTAGAGTTTTATCTATTTTGTAGTTCTTTGAAAAGAACTGGCTTTTGGGTTCTTTGATATCTATCTGCAATTTTGGGGGTTTCTGTGAGTACAAGCAAATTAAGAGTCATTCACAACACAGACCTGATGGAAAGGAAACTGTAATAGCCGACACTCACGATCAAAGCGAGGCTCCAGGGGCTAAAGCATGGGAAACAGGCAATTACCCAACTGAAAAGTCATCTTTTAACTTAGTGACCAGTTTTGCTGAGACGCTTGTACTTGGTGTTCCTTTGAGGCGACTCTGAATCCCAAAGTACTACTGGACTTCTCAGTGGTGAGATCCCCCACTGTCTGGAAGGAGACCACAAGAAACAGCCTTCTGAGGAATCCATGAGAAACACTGAAGATAGTTTAAAATTTTCAAATGCTTTTGCAAAGACTCCTCAAGAAGAACTGACTACTTGGGTGTCATCTCCTGTATCTGGAGCTACCTCTAAAGTGAAAATTAGTTGGAGTTTGAATACAAGTTTGCCCTCTTGCAGACACTGGGAAACAAAGCTATTAGAAAACAGTCCCTCTTAGCAGCTGGGATGCATAAGGGGACCACGGGGGAGAAAAACGTATTGCGTAAGTGAAAGTTCAATGTCTCAGTGCTGAAAAGTAAAAGAACAAAGAGACAAC